AAGTACTTACAGGCGACACATTGAAGCACTGACAGGCGACACATTGAAGTACTGACATGCAACACATTGAAGTACTGACAGGCGACACATTGAAGTACTGACCGACGAAACATTGAAGTTGACAGGCGACAAATTGAAGTACTGACAGGCGACAAATTGAAGCACTGACAGGCGACACATTGAAGTACTGACAGGCGAAACATTGAAGTTCTGACAGGCAACACATGAAGTACTTACAGGCGACACATTAAAACACTGACATGCGACACATTGAAGTACTGACAGACGAAACATTGAAGTACTGACAGACGAAACATTGAAGTACTGACAGGCGACAAATTGAAGTACTGACATGCGAAACATTGAAGTACTGACAGGTGACACATTGAAGTACTGACAGGCGACACATTGAAGCACTGACAGGCGACACATTGAAGTACTGACAGGCGAAACATTGAAGTAGTGACAGGTGACACATTACGTGGAATTACTGTCTTATCAAGGGATTATTTTTTAAATATAAATTGTGCATGGGCTTCTCTTTAAAAAATATATTGAGAGACACCGTTGGGAATTATGGTGTGCTTGTGAAAATTATGAAACGTATATGTGGAGAAATTTTGTAATTAATACAATGTTTTTATAAATGACTGATTTAAACATTAACAAAATAATGGTGTAATTGCTAATTATTCATAAAGACAATAGTTGTATAAATTAATGACTAAATCATTACCACAATAGTTGTTCCAATTACCGACTTAATCTGTAACACAATAGTTGTATATAAATGGAATGATTTTAGAATTCTTCGGGACCCTAACTGCCCCCACCATATTTGAGCACCTACAATTACGTCATGTATCCAAGACGTGTAAATGCAATGTTTAGTAAATGTAGCAACTTCCGGAATAAATTGCCAACCTCAGCCTCATTGACATTTCAATAACACGTTTCCTGTTGTCCTGTCCACAAAGGCTGGGATATATTTAAGAAAGCCCTTGACCCATGCTTATCAAGCCTCGGTTTCGATGCTTTCTTTAACCGTAACATCACATTTTAGCGATTCGATGAACCCTACAACGAGAGAATCTTGAATAAATTATGGTAATATTTCATTATAATTTTGATCAATGAATGCACCGATTCACGGTCTTCTATTTTCTGTCCAGATTCGGTCCCGACGCCTGTCAACTGTCCACCGTCCATTCTGCTGCACTTGACCAAAGGCTACGTCATGCCTTCAGCCAGCCCCATGTACACGGTAAGAAGATGTAGTCTACTGTTGACAGGTCTCTTGGGGATAGCTTATAGTGTTTGGTAGATGGAACCCTTATTCTCTGTAATCTATCAGTACATGATCAGTCCATCATCAGTACATTATCAGTACATGATCAGTACATGATCAGTACATGATCAGTACATCATAATATAATAAAATACGGGTATAATAAGAAGTTTTTTGACATAACAGAACCCCAGGACGTGTCCCGAAGAGCGCCATCTTAAAGCGTTATGTCCAGACATACATGAGGGCTAATGATTGTTATATCCAGACATACATGAGGGATAATGATTGTTATGTCCAGACATACATGAGGGATAATGATTGTTATGTCCAGACATACATGAGGGATAATGATTGTTATGTACAGACATACATGAGGGATAATGATTGTTATGTCCAGACATACATGAGGGATAATCATTGTTAAGTCCAGACATACATGAGGGATAACGATTGCTGTTAATGATATATTTCATATTTGAAGAATTGTGGATTCGAAAACGAACTGGCGAAATAAATCATTAAAACATTAAGCTGTGGTTGTTGAATGAATGAACAAACTGGCTGTTCAATGGATTAGCCAATAATGTAGTTTGTTGAATAGGTGAACAAACTATTTGTTCAATGGATTAGCCAATAATGTAGTTTGTTGAATAGATGAACAAACTATTTGTTCAATGGATTAGCTAATAATGTAGTTTGTTGAATAGATGAACAAACTATTTGTTCAATGGATTAGCCAACGGTTCCTACTTTGTTGTATTCGCTGTCCTGCCATCGATAGATCAGATTCACCCCCAACAATTGCACGCCGTAGGGTCGGATCATGACGTCACAGTTGACGTTAATTGTCGTACTCTTATAAACAGCGCGCCCGGATTTATGTTAATCTCTAAACAAACCCCTGAGTTCAATAACTCCCAGCAGGTAGACTTTCGTGTAACGGGTTGCTTGCCAAATCTTCAGCAGTAGTGAGACATATCCTGTTCTTAGCATTCGATCAATATTTGTGACCAGTAGCTTTGTAAAGCTAGATGGTTGACCGATGTAAAGCGAATGGTTAGATCTTTGTAAAGCCAGAGGGTTAGACCATTGAAAAGCTAGATGGTTAATCGTTGTAAAGCTGAATGGTTAGACTGTTGGAATGCTAGATAGTTAAATCGTTTTAAAGCTAGATGGGGAATCGTTGTAAAGCTAGAGGGTTAGACCGCTGAAAAGCTAGATGGTGAATCGGTGTAAAGCTAGATGTTAGACCGCTGAAAAGCTAGATGTTTAGATCGATGTATGAAGTAAAGATAGGTGGTTAGACCGTTGTAAAGCTAGATTGTTAGACTGTGGTAAAGCTAGTTAGTTAGATCGTTGTTAAGATAGAAAGTTAGATCGTTGTGAAGCTATAGATGGTTACATTTTTTAAAAAAAACTTGATTTAACGAATTATTATGTCATCCTATATAAGAATGATGATGCCGTACCATCAAAGCCGGGCACATTGAGTGAACTAAAGGGCGCATGCCTTACTATCAGAGCCGGGCACATTGAATGAACTAAAGGGTGCATGCCTTACTATCAGAGCCGGGCACATTGAGTGAACTAAAGGGCGCATGCCTTACTATCAGAGCCACGGGTTAGAAAGAACGGAGCGTAGAGTAAATAGTATCATGTTGTGAAGTGTTTGAGTCACCCCAGTGTACCCCTCAAATATAAGCCCCATAACAAAGTGTGACGCCTTGAGCTGCGCCTTACTTAGCCTAACTGCAGTCTGTCACCTTGAACAGTGCCCCGCTTAGCCTAGCTGCAGTGTGCCGCCTTGAACAGTGCCCCACTTAGCCTAGCTGCAATGTGCCGCCTTGAATAGTGCCCCACTTAGCCTAGCTGCAATGTGCCGCCTTGAACAGTGCCCCGCTTAGCCTAGCTGCAGTCTGCCGCCTTGAACAGCGCCCCACTTAGCCTAGCTGCACTGTGCCGCCTTGAACAGCGCCCCACTTAGCCTAGCTGCAATTTGCCGCCTTGAATAGTGCTCCATTTAGCCTAGCTGCAGTGTGCCGCCTTGAATAGTGCTCCATTTAGCCTAGCTGCAGTGTGCCGCCTTGAATAGTGCTCCATTTAGCCTAGCTGCAGTGTGCCGCCTTGAATAGTGCTCCATTTAGCCTAGCTGCAGTGTGCCGCCTTCACTCTACATCCGGGATGGTCTTCAGGTAGTTTCATGCCCAGCACACACGTAACCAGTGACAGTTTCAGACAGGTGTGCTTACCTACGGTTAGACCAGGGGTTCTTCACCGATGTGACCGCTACCCTTGGAGGTGCCGAAGACAGTGCCGGGGTTGGGGGGGGGGGTGGGTGCGCGGAAAGCCCCAGAAAATTGCGGCCATGGCGTTTTTATTATCAGTATCGGATGCTTTTGTGGGGAAATTTTTTCGTCCGAATTTTTTGTCTCTAGGAATTATTTCAATAAGTCAAACTAGCAGAACTGAATTATGTTCACCTTTTAAAATGTCATTGCAATACTTTTGATGGGAGAGGGGAAAAAAAGGGTGGGGGTGTGGGGGTCAGACTCTGGGGGAACAATTTTTGAAATGAAAATGGGATGCGACACTCCAAAAAAATGTTTAAGAACCCCTTCCGTTGGATGAACCCAAAGCCTGGGCCAACTTCAGGACAGGACAACTCTAGTTTTAATTAATAGCTTAAAGACATGTGGAGTTATTGCCCGTGATGTGCCTAACGTGGGGGCCTAACGTGGGGGCCTAACGTGCGGGCCTAAAATGTGTGGCCCCTGTTTTATATTCAAAGTCGTTATGCAGAAGTGGAGGGCAACAAATTCTATAACATGTCTGCCACATGATACATTCTATAACATGTCTGCCAGATGATACATTATATAACATGTCTGCCAGATGATACATTCTATAACATGTCTGCCAGATGATACATTATATAACATGTCTGCCACATGATACATTATATAACATGTCTGCCAGATGATACATTATATAACACGTCTTTTGTAGCAAACATTGTTTAAAAACTCTTTTAATATAGTGTGAAAGTGGGGACCTGATTATTATATGTAATGAGGAAACACAAAGAATGAGGAGAAATGACAAAAATACTGTTCTTTATACTATGTTACTTATAAAGCGCTTGTATTTCTTGTTCCTAGACTGTCTAACCCAGTGGTCCCCAAATGGCGGTCCGTGGACCTTCACCGGTCCGCATGCCTAACGCTTCCGGTCCCCATCACATAAATATTTATTGTCAAATACAAATAAAAGTCTAAAAATAAATCATGCACCGGTCCCTGGTAAAATGTCGAAACATGTTCACAGGTCCGCCACACTTAAACGTTTGGGAACCACTGGTCTAACCTACTTTTCTTAACAGCAATTACTGTCTTGGTAAACTGTCGTAATCAAGAGACATAGAGCAGAGATCTTTGATGATGGATCAAACATCAACTTTCTTGCCCTCGTATTTCACCAATCTCTCCATTTCTGACATTTCAGTTTTCCAGCGTGTTTACAGAACCAGAGGCGCCATTCGTTCTATCCCATGATTCCAGGATCACCGGCAATGACAACAGCCCCGACGGTAACGCCAACAGCTCGACGACCGGAAGCACGTCCGGTGGCGGCAGCAAGCACCTCTACAACATGGACACCAAATACGACAACATCTCAGACACGTTCACCCCGTGCGGCACAGCGGAGTACGACCCCTTCAAATGTTTGAGCGCCATGGCCGAGCAGAGCCTCACCGGGAACTTCACTCACACCGGCCATCCGGCCGGCTCGGCCAAGTTCGGCGTCGTCGCCAGCAGGGTCGTGGCCAGCAGAGCCAATAGCCACCGAGGAGCCGGGGCCAACGGTGGTGCCGGTCAACAGGGTGAGATGTATACGGACATTGACCAAATGGGCTTGTTTCAAACCAGTAGCAGGATCATGTACTCCTCTTCATCTTCCTCGTTATCATCTTCATCGCCGCCATTATCCCCCGCCTCGTCGTGCTACGCCTACACAACTACGTCAGATCCGGGTTCATCCAACGACTTTTTAACCAATGACAATGCCAGCTATCACGTGCCCCGGCAGACCAATCAAAACCAATCACATAACTTTTTAAGGAATGACAGCCCCTTCTGTCACAGCCCATCCAATAGCAATCCAGCCCGTGGAGGCGGTAACTCTAGGCAGATCTGTAAGAAAAGTTATCCATCTTGTTCATCGGAGCAGTCGCTAGAAGGTAAACAAGACAATACTATCTATTGTATATATTTCGCTTCTGGTGTGTCCTGTTTCTTCTTCGAAACTGGCCCCTCCCCAACTCCATATAATGTATATTAATAGTACTGAGTGAAAAAAAAGGCTGTCATGCGTGACGTAAGAACTCGGTTAAAAAAATATTTAGGGGGAAGCGACAATTATATTAATCAATAAATAGTCACGTGTATTTTGTTGAACCGTCTGTAGGAAGGTCTGTAGGAAGGTCTGTAGGAAGGTCTGTAGGAAGGTCTGTAGGAAGGTCTGTAGGAAGGTCTGTAGGAAGGTCTGTAGGAAGGTCTGTAGGAAGGTCTGTAGGAAGGTCTGTAGGAAGGTCTGTAGGAAGGTCTGTAGGAAGGTCTGTAGGAAGGTCTGTAGGAAGGTCTGTAGGAAGGTCTGTAGGAAGGTCTGTAGGAAGGTCTGTAGGACGGTCTGTAGGATGGTCTGTAGGATGGTCTGTAGGAAGATCTGTAGGAAGGTCTGTAGGAAGGTCTGTAGGAAGGTCTGTAGGAAGGTCTGTAGGCAGGTCTGTAGGAAGGTCTGTAGGAAGGTCTGTAGGAAGGTCTGTAGGAAGGTCTGTAGGAAGGTCTGTAGGAAGGTCTGTAGGAAGGGTGTAAGACTGCCTTTAGTCCAGGCAGGCAGGGTGTAAGACTGCCTTTAGGTCTATTGTATTTTTTATCTCCCGGTGAGACACATTCGGTTGGGGGGTGGGATTGCGTGAAGAACAGGCAGCTCGGTCTCGGACCAGTCAGACCGGGTGGCTGGCAAATGAAACAAGCATTTTTTATTGGTTATTTACACGAGATGTTACATTCCATTCCATAACATTCCATCCCATCACATTCCATCCAATAACATTACATCCTATCACATTCCATTCCATTCCATCCCATAACATTACATCGCATCGCATTCCATTCCATCCCATCACATTCCATTCCATCCCATCACATTCCATCCAATAACATTACATCCTATCACATTCCATTCCATTCCATCCCATAACATTACATCGCATCACACTCCATTCCATTCCATAACATTACATCCCATCACATTCCATCCCATAACTTTCCATCGCATCATATTCCATTCCATTCCATCACATTCCATTCCATTCCATCCCATAACATTACATCCCATCACATTCCATTCCATTCCATTACATTACATCACATTCCATTACATTTTAGAGCAGTTAGCTTTAACGTTCATAACATTTCGTTGATAATTTCGAAATTTAAAAAAATAATACTACAAACACCAGATGCTATAGCTATAATGTTTGCGTTGGTCAAAGAAAGAGGATAAATTATCCTATTCAAATAACCATACAGCTAATTATATGTTCTCGGATCTTTTTTATAACACGATTGTTCTTATCATCAGTTAATTAATGGCATCAAGGTACGTGTACTACAAGCTATAGTAAACTGGTTTAACATGTTCCCTGTTCTTATAGTGGACTGTATTCATTGTGTTCCCTGTTCTTATAGTGAACTTTATTCATTGTGTTCCCTGTTCTAATAGTGAACTGTATTCATCATGTTCCCTGTTCCAGACAACGACCGTCTCCTGAGCTGGACGAGACACCACCCAGAGAACTGGTCAAGCAGCGAGGTCTTAGACTGGCTGTTCTTCGTGGCCCAGGAGAGGGGCCTGGACATGCAGGAGTTCAGGGGAGAGAACTTTCAAAACATAAACGGAATGCAGTTGTGTCAGATGGGGTTAGGGGACTTCACTCGTCTGGAACCTAGATTTGGGAGGTCCATCTACGAGATGTTCAAGAATCTTTTGTGTGGAGGTCAGTTGTGGGATCAATTAATTTGTTTTAAGATAAAATGGTGGCTCAGTTTTGTAGGTAACTTACTTTCAGTTTCACGTATAGTTGCGTAAACTAAAACACCGAACTAAACATTTGGAACAAGGAATTTTTTCATGAAATTCTCAATCTCCATTGTCGAATAATATTTATTTTTTTATAAAAGATGCTTGGAAATTCGTCCTTCTACACTACACTGCACTGCACTACACTACACTGCACTACTCTACACTACACTACACTACACTACACTACACTACACTACACTACACTGCACTACACTATACTACACTACACTACACTACACTACACTGCACTACACTACACTACACTACACTACACTGCACTACACTACACTGCACTACACTGCACTACACTACACTACACTACACTACACTACACTACACTACACTGCACTACACTGCACTGCACTGCACTACACTGCACTACACTGCACTACACTACACTACACTACACTACACTACACTGCACTACACTGCACTGCACTGCACTGCACTGCACTGCACTACACTACACTACACTGCACTGCACTGCACTACACTACACTACACTACACTACACTGCACTGCACTGCACCGCACCGCACCGCACTGCACTGCACTACACTACACTACACTACACTACACTAGCACTAGCACTAGCACTAGCACTAGCACTAACACTAACACTAGCACTAGGACTATCTGAATTTATGATGGGACACATGGATATCTAGCACTATTGTTTGCTTGGTGGGCTACATCTAGGCCCCACTGTATATCTTAATGTCTCCTCTATAAATCAAGGATGATGTGTATGGCTTATTTTCGCCCGACAAGGGATATGCTGCTTGACACACAGCTTGAAAAGCACTGTTTAGCAATACAGGCGACACCACAACATTTAGCAACACCACAACATTTAGAGACACCACAACATTTAGAGACACCACAGCATTTAGCAACACCACAACATTTAGCAACACCACAACATTTAGCGTTCTAAAATTGTATCATTACTGTCATTTTTACATAAGATTAATTCCTTCACAAAGTACTCCTTGCTACATAAGATTGATTCACTCCGAAAGTACTCCCTCCTGCATAAGATTGATTAATTCCCAAAGTACTCCCTCCTACATAAGATTGATTCATTCCGAAAGTACTCCCTGCTACATAGGATTGATTAATTCCGAAAGTACTCACTCCTGCATAAGATTGATACATTCCCAAAGTACTCACTCCTACATCAGATTCATTCATTCCCAAAGTCCTCCCTCCTACATAAAATTGATTAATTCCCAAAGCCCTCCCAGCTAACCTCAAGTCCATAGACTTCTGTACAGGCATACATTAACTTTTAAAATAAAGATGTGTAACCTACAATGATCAAACCAGCAGCCGACAAGATGACGTCCCTTTACCTAACAATGTCACACCTGTGTTCTGCATGTAAAAATACACATTTATTAATATAAACTTTCTCTTGTTCTCTCCCCCCCCCCCAAACCACCCTCTCCAGTTTTGTTTCGTAAGCCAGTTGACCCAGAGCACGTGACCTCACAGATCTCGTCCTACTCTTCCCTTCCCTGCCCATCGCCCCAACCGTCCCAGGGCAGCCTACAAGGATACAACGTGTCTCCCTCCTCCTACCAGATGCTTGAGACGGATATCAATTGTAACGGTAAGCACAAGCGGCGTCACTGCCTCCAGGGGCGTGCTCTAAGGATCAGATTTGCAAATAAGAAGGGTTTAGTGGAATTTAGGGAATCTCCTTGTTCTTATTAAACTAGTACCGATTAAAAAAATTGTAGTCGACCACAGACACGAGACCATAGACATGAGACCACAGACATGAGACCATAGACATGATACCACAGACATGAGACCATAGACATGAGACCACAGACATGAGACCATAGAAATGAGACCATAGACATGAGACCATAGACATGAGACCACAGACATGAGACCATAGACATGAGACCACAGACATGAGACCACAGACATGAGACCTCAGACATGAGACCACAGACATGAGACCATAGACATGAGACCACAGACATGATAACTATGCCAAAAATGATAAACTTAACTGACTTCGTCATTTCTATATATTTTAACAAGCAAACATTGTCGCTTGATTTTAAAAACAGTACATTTACAAACATTTGAATCATAATTTGTAATGTGATAGTTACTTTGTGTCTAAAGGTATCGCACCAAGCGATCAATTCTTCAAGCAAGAAAAGTGCACAAGTGTCCAGAATAGTATCGATATCAACTCTTATGATTTTGATTTGGACGATACTCCTTGCATTACAAACGGACAGAACTGTCAAGGTAAAGAAAGAACACAAAATATTTTTTTTTAAAAACATACCTGGGACCGTTTGGATGTGAATGTCTAGATGTGAATATTTGGATGTGAATGTTTGGGTGTAAATGTCTGGCTGTGAATGTTTGGATGTGACTATCTGGATTTGTATATCTGGATGTGAATGTTTGGATGTGAATGTTTGGATGTGAATTTAAAATTGTATTTAATTGAGAATTATAAAACTGGATTCCTTGCCGAAATGTGTATTTTCCGTTTGTTAAAAAAGACTAAGTTGTCTACGCGTGTCATCACGTATCGAGTCTAATAAATAAGGTTGACGGAAGCGAAAGGAATTTGTTGGAAATGGTGTGTAATGTGCATAATTTGAAATTGTGCACAATGTGCATCATTTGATGAGAAATCATAGACTTGTTCCATTCACTTATTGCTAATATGGATGTCTGACAAGGGAGTTTACTGTATACTTGTTTCATTCACTACAAATGCCTGAGTTTCGTGCTCTTGTCCCACAGACCAGTACCAGCCCGAGTACGCCATGTACCCAGCCCAGTATCCTCAGACCACACCAATGAGGACGTCCTGCTGTTTCCCACCGCCTCCTTTCTCGGGTCAACTCCCCAGGAGGCGTCCAGGGCGCCCCCGGGTCAAAGGTCTGATGGATGACGAGCGTGCCAACAAGGAGAGAAAAGGTACCAACGGTTCTCGCATTAAACCAGATGGGGTGCAAGGATTCTTGTCCCCAAAAATAAACATTAAAAGATTAATGTTTGATTATTAAATATATATATATATATCATTTAATTAGACTGCTAAATCCTTCTCTATCTTGGCGTACTAATCTATGTTTCCTACCGTACTTCCCCAGTTAAGAACCAACATTTGTGGGAGTTTATCTACGAGACGCTGATGAACCCCGTCTACAACCCCCAGTTCCTGAGGTGGGAGAACCAGCGTGACGGCGTCTTCAGATTTGTCCAATCAGAAGCCGTGGCTCAGCTGTGGGGTGGACGGAAAAATAATGAGAACATGACGTATGAAAAACTGAGTCGGGCTATGAGGTATGTCACAGTATGTCGCAATATGTCGAAGTATGTCACATTACGTCCCATTATGACAGTCAATGTTCCCTCTAAGGTTTGCTGGTTCGTGTGCAAAATCATAAAGTTGTGTGAAAAGTTTTACAGCATCCTTTTTTTTGTGTGCAAAATTTTACAGCCCACAAAAACACGGACATTTGCTGCGAGGATGCTCAAAACTGCTGCGCGGCGTCTGTGAGATAGCTGCGCGGCCGCGCAGCCACGCAGCTTAAAAGGAACATTGGACACAGTATGTCACATTATGACACAGTATCTGTAAGTGCACTGTTAATTTTAAACATTTTAAAATTATTTCAGACACTACTACAGACGCGGGATATTAGAGAGAGTCGAAGGGAGGCGACTGGTGTACAAGTTTTCTCTGAAAGCCATGGAGAGAGTAAGAGAAAAGAGACACAACCCTGTATAGAAAAGTTCATCTCCTGGTTGTCATTCTTTGTATCGAAACGGACTGCCTACTGAAAGCCTGTAGCTCAATGGACTTAAAGATGTGAGAGTGGGTGAGGAATCTGTGATTTAACATTTGTGCGCGCGTGCATTTTATGTGTACATGTACGCTCTATTTATTTTATGATGACGTCAAACATTGGCCTGAAAATAATCTCGAAAGCAAAATGTCAGTTTTCAGAAGGAGGCACATTATCTTCAGGATTATAGTTAAAATATTAAAATACTAGTGTTGAAATATCTACCTTAAATCAAAACTGAAGAAATTTTTCACTCAAATCATTTTCATTTCAAATAAAACTTCTTAGCTGTAGACTTGTGCCTGAATGACAAGAATATAATATATATATATATATATTTATATATATATATATATATATATAAATAAATAAATATATGTTTAAATCTGTACAAGGAAGATAACAAAAAGTCAGATCAATAATCTTATTAAATTAATTTAATTAAACTGTTCAAGAAATTTTTCACTCAAATCATTTACATTTCAAATAAAACTTCTTAGATGTAGACTTGTGCCTGAATGACAAGAATATAATATATATATATATATATTTATATATATATATATATATATATATAAATAAATAAATATATGTTTAAATCTGTACAAGGAAGATAACAAAAAGTCAGATCGATAATCTTATTAAATTAATTTAATTAAACTGTTCACATTTAAGTTATGGGCATAGCCAGAAGGCTTTGCATTGTAAAAATAAGTTGATCGGTAAAATTGTATGTGATGATGAGAAAGCCCTTTATTTTGTAATCTTCATGTTTCAACATGCCGTGTGACTTACATTTGTTATGGTGTATTTTGTTATTTTTATTGATGAATGTTATCAACACTCAAAACTTACAACTTACAACTTGCAACCATTTCATTCATTCCAAAAGATAATTTTTTCCCCTTTTTAAAAATGTCTGCTGCATTTTTTTGTTGTTGTTCACATTGGATGGTTGTGAAATTGATGACTTGATATGACTTGATATGACTTGATATGACTTGATATTTTTAGCCATTTCTCCAAAAGGTTGTGACGTCAATAAGTTGTGACTTTGTGTATATTTTACGAAGGTTTCACTGAAATGTTACATTATACATTTATGTGATCTGAAATGCTGCGTGGCCCTGGGATGGTATACGGTGCTGCGTGGCCCTGGCATGCTATACAGTGCTAGGTGGCCCTGGCATGGTATATAGTGTTGAGTGGACAGTGGCTGTCACAAGTGAGGATGTTGTCACAGAACAGCTGTCTTAGCACTGTGAACAGCCATCTTAGAATTTTGAAGATAAAAATATTTTAAATAAACTTTTCGTTTATGTGCAGCCATATATTAAATGTCAGAAATACGTCCAAAAATGGAAATCAGTTGAATTTCCAAAAGAGAACGAATTTGTTGTAACCAAACGTCCACAAATTTAGAGAAAGATTTTCTTGTAGAATTTTTTTCTTTCTTTTTAAATTCTAGGAAGAAGTAGTTTTTTTTTTGTTTTTTAAATTCAAATTATAATAATTTTTTTTTTCAACAGCCGTCTTTAAAATTGTATGTGTCTGTCTTTTAACATCATCGTATATAAAACGGATTTATGGAATATTTTGAAAATAAGAGCTAAATCCATGGCCTATATTGAAATCATCCCAGTGATGAGGACCTGACTCCATGGCTCATATCTCTCCACGCTGTTGGAAGGTATATAGGACCTGGCTCCATGGCCCATATCTCTCCACGCTGTTGGAAGGTATATAGGACCTGACTCCATGGCCCATATCTCTCCACGCTGTTGGAAGGTATATAGGACCTGGCTCCATGGCCCATATCTCTCCACGCTGTTGGAAGGTATATAGGACCTGACTCCATGGTCCATATCTCTCCACGCTGTTGGAAGGTATATAGGACCTGGCTCCATGGCCCATATCTCTCCACGCTGTTGGAGGGTATATAGGTCCTGGCTCCATGGCTCATATCTCTCCACGCTGTTGGAAGGTATATAGGACCTGACTCCATGGCCCATATCTCTCCACGCTGTTGGAAGGTATATAGGACCTGGCTCCATGGCTCATATCTCTCCACGCTGTTGGAAGGTATCTATTAAAGTTATTTGACAAAACATGTACTCCGCTAACGCATTTTATAAGAATATCAACTAGTACTAACTTCTGGGAATTTATTTTGCGCGCCTAATGAACAACGCGTCACAGCCATATGCACACACACACACACACACACACACACACACACACACACACACACACACACACACACACCTAGTGGATTATTATTTTATTGTAATGAATTGTGAATATCATCATTTCGAAAGCAATATCTAGCTTGCTTGGGGTGGGTTGGGTAGGGGCTGCTCTATAATAATCTAAGCAGGACTAAAGAGCTGTATATAGTTATTGTTCCGTTTATGGTGTCTATATATAGCTAAACAATATATGTTCAATACTGTACCAGCCGGAGGCTCACGGTGTGTCCTGACATTGCAGTATCTAAAAGTAAAATTATACTTCAAACTCGGTGAAGTCGCACATGTTGTCACCTGCTAGTTGTCTCGGTGAAGTCGCACATGTTGTCACCTGCTAGTTGTCTCGGTGAAGTCGCACATGTTGTCACCTGCTAGTTGTCTCGGTGAAGTCGCACATGTTGTCACCTGCTAGTTGTCTCGGTGAAGTCGCACATGTTGTCACCTGCTAGTTGTCTCGGTGAAGTCGCACATGTTGTCACCTGCTAGTTGTCGAAAACCACACAGAAATTTACTTAAGTTTTACTTATGTTCAGTTCACACGATCAAATTTTCGTCAACTTTCTTTTAGTGCTTTCAAGTGAAAATTTGACAACGTGAACTGAGCATTTTAAAAGTATTTGATGAAGTTAAGCATAAGAATTGAAATTATAGACGGGCTAGTGAGAACAATGGTTGATGAGTGTCTGTTTAAGTCTTTGATGAATGTCTGTCTATGTCTTTGATGAATGTCTGTTTAAGTTTCTAATGGATGTCTGTTTAAGTTTTTGATGAATTTCTGTTTAAGTTTCTGATGGATGTCTGTTTAAGTTTCTAATGAATGTCTGTTTAAGTTTCTAAGCAATGTCTGTTCCAGTTTTTGGTGGATGTGTGAGCCTCCACTTCTTTGATTTGTACAAGACAAAGACGAGACCCTTAGATCATGTTGTTCTATTGAAAGGTTGGGTTTTCTGTAGTGTTGAGTAGGCGATGACGTTGTGGGAGATGGATTCAAACTAAAAAAAAATTTAGTCAGACAAAGCCGTACCATGCTGGTCATGTAGTCAGACAAAGCTGTACCGTGCTCTAAGACAAACCTGTACCGTGTTGATCGTGTAGTCAGACAAAGCTGTACCATGCTGGTTATGTAGTCAGACCAAGCTGTACCATCCTGGTTATGTAGACCGACAAAGATGTACCGGTGCTGGCCATGTAGTCAGACAAAGCTGTACCGTGTTCTAAGACAAAGCCGTACCGCGCTGGTCCTGTAGTCAGACAAAGCCGTACCGTGCTGGTCATGGCTGCTCTTGTTGTAGAAGACGATTAGCAGAGGGCCAGTTGCCGCTGACCCTCGCGTTTATCCTTAGAAATGACGATAAATTACTTTGCTTCTATGAAGGTCAGCCAGGACTGACACTGTCAAGTTGAACCCTACCTTCCTACACGGGGTCTCAAAGTGTACACATAGAGGATCATTTAAAGCACTCCTCCGTTGCTTCGGTTTAATTTATGATATTAATAGAGAAAGGGTTTAGATCGATCCTTTGTCATAGATCTCAGCTGTGGTTCCAGATTTGCCTGATTGTGCTTCGCCTTTATCTTGTCAAAGTTGCCAGGAAAGAGTCACATAGTTACGCCACACAATGCTGATATCTTTGTTTGCTTTTTAAAAATTAATCTCTTTTTTTTTTAAAAATGATTTTTATAAATGGAACGGTAACTAGATAAGACTAACATCTAAGCTTTGTCCACTTTTCAATCAAAATCATGTTTTAATTATTGACAGAGATTTTTGATTTATGAATTATTTCCTTTTCAATTATATATATATATATATATATATATATATATATATATATATATATATATATATATATGTGTTTTTTTTTTATATATTCTTTATTATTTATATATACACTTTATACTCCCATTAACATAAATATATATATATATATATATATATATATATATATATATATATATATATATATAAATGTGATTTTATTGTATACATTCCTTATTATTTATACCTACACTTGATACTCCCATTAACATAAAATAATTAAAGATCAAAACATGAGCTGCCGTAAAAATGTGCATCATTATTGGCATCAT